CAATGTATAGGAAAGAAGGAATTTTTCCTGACTCGAATTCACAGCTGTTTTGTGGTAAATTCCGCAGCTGTGACCAGAAACTGGATGACCTTGTTAGTAGGACAGCCACAAAGTAGCCACAAAGTTTGGTTTTGATTATAATGTCTGTTTTTCTTCTTGAAGTCTGTTCCTTAAAATTTGATGTGCTCATGTAATTGCAATGTAGTTTACTGCCCTGCTTTACCTCCGATGAAGGGAGTTTGAGACTTCGCAGAGGAGGAGAAGAGAGGGAGAGAGAGACTGACAGACACAGAAGCCCACAGTATGGAAAATTAAATGATATCACTGATAGGCTTTTCTGTCAGTGTATATGAGTTATTGAATGCTTAAGCAGACGTATTACATGGTTTTTCTATCCCTTATCCCCCATAAAACTTAACAACTAAAAAGATAACCTGCATGTAGTTTATTAGTGGTCTTACGTGCATTCATCTTTTTCTTTTTTTCCTTTTCTACTTTGTTTAAAACAAAAAGTCTATAACAGAAATACAAGTCAGATTCCCTCCAGTGGAGTAGATTTTCATTTCTCAGTAGGAAGATGGAAGAAAAAGATTCATAATTCACTTACACTTCTGTGAATCCAAGATTTTTTGGAAGTGACTGGTGTTTTGCACAATGTGAATGATTGGGGCAGGCATCTTGCATTCTTCTGGCATCTGGATTTTGGAGGTATTGAGCACCCCTTGTCTGAAATGCAGCCCCTTTAAGGTATCTTAAAAGAAACATGTTGCAAAATGAGGCCTCTGAAACCACTCATCGCTTTTGAAAAACCTGGTTGTTGGTTTTAGTAGTTCTGGACTCTAAAGATGATTACTTTCAGGTCTTGTTTACTGCCTCTCGGCATGAGTTTTAGACAGTTACTGAGCTACACCGGTCCCATCTTGGTGCATGTTTCTGAGCAGACGTGGCTGGATCAGCTGGGCAAGGCCAGGTGGTGCTGCTGCCCACCCTTCCTCCTGATGCTGGCCTCCTGGCTAGAAAGCAATGTGAGCTTGTTGGGGCCAGCAAGAGGGCATATGGCTGCCAGTCAAGGCAGAGGGTTCCCATGGGATCTGAAGGGCCTCTGGGCTACGGGGATTCTTCACATGACCTGTATTCAAGAGTTATCGAACAAAGTGTGTTAAAATCTTCGGGAAGAAGGGCAGGAATCCAGGTCTCCCCAACAGGGTGCTACATGTCAGCAATGTTGCGAGCTTTGATTTCTTTTTCTTCTTTTTGGCCCACATCCACTTTATTGTTGAGCAGCTTGAATGGTTTCTGAAAGGCAGAGAAAGACCTGCCACCTTCTGTTCTCTTCAGATCCTTCTGATCTTTTCAGATCAGAAAAATCGTCCAGGCTGCCCTGTGACAGCATCTTGCATGAGGGTGACATTAAACCCAGCCAGGTCATCTTGCCTTATGAAGAGCTCTCCAGAAACAGTTGGAGAGAATTATTTGAAGGCAGCTATATGAGCTATTTAAGAAATCACCCTGGTGGCTGAACTGTTGTCACCATTTCTGTGTACTCCCCTTAGCTGTGCTGGCTAGTTGATACCTGTTCCTCTGCTCCCTCATGATCTCCTTTTCATTTCAATCTGAGGTGTTTGAAGTTTGGAGGCAGAAGGAATGGAGTGCAGGTTGCCAGGCTCCGTAGAAAAATCCTAGTACCTCAGACTCAACCCTTGGTGCTGAGCACAGGGCAAAAGAAAGATAATAAAGAAATAAGGATTCTTCCTTTCCTTAGCACATCTGTCCAGCTGTGTCTTAATGCATCTGCTGCGGGTGTCATTGATTTCCAGTCAGGGCCCCTAGCTAAGATGATGTCTGTCTCCTCGGTTGTACCCTGCAAGTTTGCTTGCTTTCAAATTGGACAAAAGTCAACAATGCCTGGCTTAGCATCCTCCTTCTGGAGGCTCCATATGGTGTTAAAGCATATGTAGAGAAAGAGGACATCTCTATGAGGTAAAATCTATCCTTTTGGTGGAAGTAATTTTTATTTATATAGGGAGGGGAATTTCAAATATACTTAACGTTTAAGCACTTGCACTGTACTGGTGTAAGGCACATCACTGCAGGCCAGTGAAACCAGTTTCTATATTTGTTAAAGCAGAGCTGCTTTTGTCCTTTAGTTAGAAAGGTATTTTGCCACTGGGTAGGCATCATCACTTTTTATGTTGCTCTATGTGGGGTAGAGAATGTGAAGGAGGCACGCTTGACCAAAAATACCCTATTGACACAGCAGTCTTTTCCCATCTTTGGAGGGACTGAGTGGAGAATATTGCCAAACTCCAGTAAATATAAGTGAGCTGCATTAAGTGCAAGTTGTGTGTGTACATACATTTTGGAGCTTCTACAGTCTGTTTCCTACTCGGGGCCAAAGGTTCCTCTTCAGCATCCAAGTCCCCAAGTCTCTAGTCAGTGGCACCTTAACAGCCTCCAGCTGAGATAAAAATATATTCAGATCACAGCAGTCCCTTCTGCCTCTCCCAAACTGTTTGGGAGGCATCTCCTGTACTCTTGCTTTGCATAGGTTGAAAAATTAATGTTAGGTGCAGGTTCTCATGTAACTGTAGTCACAGAGCAGTGATGGGCAGGATCTACATCTCTGAGCTGAGGCCTTAAGTCAGTCATGTCTTGTGGCTGAATCGTAAGTTTGTCTTTTTACCATGTAGGATCTGAAGAATATTACCAAAGTTTTGGACCTGGACTTGCAAAGCTAGGTATTGTGCATGCTTAAACACCTAGAAAGGAAAAAAAAACCCAACCCTCCTGTATTTCCAAGGCTGCTGTGTGCTTGGAGCTCCCAATGAAATCAGTCCACTTATTTTTTTCTTTTAAACTGATTCAGCTGAAGGGTGAAGATGTCCTAGGTGTTAACCACTCACAGAAAAATAAAATACTTCATACAAATTGTTTCTGTTGCGTTTGTTGATCTTGGTGAATTTGATAGCATCTTCGTGATGGTGCCGTCTAGTGTTCGAAGTATATGAGATGAACTCACAGTATATATATCAAAGCAAAAAATGCTGGCGTATAGTAAGGAGGCATTGTTTCAGCCTCATGTATGACATTGTAATTGTATGTTTTTTAATGAACAGGCCAGAGTAGTTACACTTAGCAATGTTTGTTCACTAAAAAGGAAAAGGGGTGTTAAATCATTGTGTTCTTTGATGAATGGCTTGTACACTGAAGAATAAATTGAACAAACTGGCATAGAGCTCACTGAACATGAAATCAGCTATTAGAAGAAAGCTTGTGAACAAATTCTGAGTCTGATATGCATCTTTTGATTAATGTCCTATCAATCATCCATAGTGGCTACCTTAGCTAAGTCGTGCTGTAATCATTCATGGTTGCTTACAGGAACACTAGAAGGGACTATAGAGCTGCAGTAACTGAATATTATTACTGATTTCTCCCTAACTCTTGCTGTGAACAATTACTGTTTTCACTACGTTTCTGCCTCCCTTTATTAAAAAGAATACAATGCAAAATGAAAAGAGAGTTCCTCAAAGACCAGTAAAATTCTCCCAGGGTATTCTTAATGATATTCTGTCCTAAATGGGCAAACTATTGTAATGCAGAGTTCTCACCAGGAATAATAGTAATGTAATCACATTGAAGCTGTCTCTTTATGGATTGTAGTCAAACAGACAAAATGTATAGTCAGATTAATGAACACAGAATTTCTGTAGAATTATTACTTAAAATGGTTGAAATGATTTTAGCTTTTTGTATCACGGTATTTTCAGTTAATGCACTTAACAGCAACAGCAATTAAGACTCCAGACTGTAAATTTGGACTAAATCCACCCTTTTGACATTAGAAGAAGCCTTGATTCTTAAAAGGTATTATGCTTGCACCCCTCTCTTTTAAGATGTTTTAAATTTATATGGCTGTGGACTGTGGTTGTTCGCTGTTTTTTTTTAAGGAAAAAAAATCAGTGAATACACTTTTTCCTCCTTTTTAAAATATTTTGAAATATTTTTTTTTCCTTTATGATTGTAAGTTATTGGCAAACATTGCCAGGAGACTCTCATACTCTTGTGTGTGAAGATTTAGTTCCACACCACTTATTTCTCGAGTGTGACACAAAGAATGCTTTGGCACTACCCACAAAATAGGTACTTAGATGGCAGTGTAATTTCCTCCAAAGTCACTGTAGTCTGGGAAATACGGTGAAGTAATGAAGTGATGACAGGTATTAACATGCATAATGGGCTTTAATAGACATTTAATGTTGTTTAACTGGAAGAAGGAGAAGTGCTTTCCCATTGGAATATTTCTACATTGAAACTCATTGATCACCAATTTCAGGGGGGAAAGGTTAATCCATCAGTTTCTGTAACCAAACGGCACTGATGGAAATTCTTTAGGTGACATTCTGGATGAACTGAGCTTTCCATCTTTGCAAACAAATGAGTGATATGACAAGCATGGTGTTCAGAACACATTTAACCAATTGATTTTCTCTCCTCTTGTAATAAGATCTAGAGACATATGAAAGAGCGTAGCATGAGCCAAGATTAAAGGAACTGCTTCATACACGTGAACATAGGGGAACTGCATTATCAATAAAAGTACTATAAAGCATGTAGGCACCCATTCTTTTTCTTTATATAAAGTTTGTTATTGCAATAAATAGCTGTTATTGAACTGCTTGCCTTTTATTTCAGTTTTTCTGAATTTTATTTCAGTCAGCTTTCTGTGGTTTCCTAGTAAATGTTAGGAAAAAATGTTATGTTTTGTTATGGTATCATTTTTGCACTCACTAGTAAATCTAGGCCAACTCTGGATTTAAAACCAGGATTTATCCTCCTTTGGGGCACGAAGAAAGATATGAGGGGGAGGGAGGGAGGGACCTGACTTCAACTAATGTAAATATTTCAAATATATTTTAAAGGTTTAATCTATATGGTTCCATACTGTAACGACCCTCATCATTTTCCTCCCTCTTCCCTCCTTTTTCTCCCAAATTCAGCCCTGCTCTGAGTTTCACATACCCTCCTACACCGGTATCCCTCCAGCAAATGCATCAGCAAATTATAAGTCGTCAGCAAACCCTAGGTTCAGCCTTTGGACACAGTCCTCCACTCATCCATCCTGCTCCAACTTTTCCTACCCAGAGACCTATCCCTGGCATCCCCAGTGTCCTGAACCCTGTCCAGGTCAGCTCTGGACCTTCTGAGTCCACACAGGTGAGAGACAACAGAAGAAACCTTTGCACCCCATTAATTTAAAAATGAAATAAATTAAATAAATGACATTGTCTTGATGGCAATTAATCACCACTGTCACCGAGACCCTTCGATAACAGTTTTCTTGCAGCTATAGCTTTTGCAGTCCCCTATTATAAATCACAGGAGTGTATCCACAGTTCCTGATTGGTAGTGTGCTTTTTAGTCCTCATAAATATTTCAGTGTGCTGCAGCAGCTTCTCATTCCAAGCTGTCTCTCCTGGATCTTACACAGGAAGTTAATAGAGGTAGGGAGTAAGAAAAGGGGGAAAACCACATCAAAACACTAACATTTTAAAGATTAGCAGATTTCACCTCCAAATCAGGCTGACTGTTATATGACACAGGGTCCTATTCTGCCCTCCTGACACAGGTGCGAGTAACTCAGTCTGTGAGCAACAGAGGAACTTGAAGATAGTGCAGAGGTTTGAAGTTTTTTTTTCTTTGATTTGTGCAAAATTGGACTTACTGAGTTTGAATTAATCATTTCAGTAAACCAAGGTGTATTCTTAAAAGCTGGGCATGTGCAGCAGTGAATCAGGCCCATAATGTAGAGTTTATCACAGTTCGTGCTTTGCCTGTTATTAACTAGTGCTGTTTGTTTCCAGATGACCTGGGATAGGTTATTTATCAGTCTGGGAGCTGTTTATCTCCTAGCTAGCTTTTACAAATGTAGAAGCAGAACATGCTGCTGTAGGAAGCATATTGATTTTTTGTGGGGTCCGTGCAAGTTCAGATATCTCTAAAAGATCTCTGGATTCCTACAAGATCCATTTGCAGGTGTAGATAATGGTGTTCAGTCTAGCACAGTAAGAGAAAAACAAGATTCTGGCCTGTTTATGTCAGCAGTAGTTTTGCTATTGACTTGGGAGAATCCAGGACTTCATCTAGGATTTTTTTGGCTGAGTCTCACGCTAGTGTTCAATTTTTCTTCCTATCCACCATTATAATGGGAAATGCAGTAAAAGAGCTGAGATCTTGTGGGCAGATGTTAAGTGCAAAACCTTTCTTCCAACTGTGAAAAATAAATCTTTCTCTTGTGTTTATTTGAATGAGCACACAGTGATTTTGCTTTTCAAAATTGCCTTTCTGAAGTTGTCACTATGTGGAAAATCAAGTTCCTCCTACCCCTCCCTGGCCTGACAAAAACAGCATTGGTTTGTAGCAAGGAATTACATCAAATGCCATCCTTCCTGTTCCCTCCCTGCTCCATTACAAGGTTGAGCGATGCAGCTCTTCCACAAGTTAATGCTATGTAATTGAAGCACAATGTAATTGCATATCCTATATAATTAACAGTGTAGCTTCTCCAAATAAAGTTGCTGAGCAGATGCTGCATATTTTTGTTTGGAGCTACATATTTATCACAGTCTAATTTTGTCTTCTTTTGGGGGGAAAAAAAACCCTGCCTACAGCAGAATAAACCCACAAGCGAATCTGCAGTGAGCAGCACTGGAGATCCCATGCACAACAAGCGCTCCAAGATAAAGCCCGATGAGGACCTCCCCAGCCCGGGAGCGGGAAGCGTGCAGGTATGGCGGTCAGGTTACAGTCATAAGCCTTTCATCTCGCTGCCAGAGGGAAAATGCGCCCTCCCCATAGCTTGTGTTTTCAGGCTTCCTGCGCTCGTATGGCCCTTCATCTAGTGCATACACGGGCAGCCTCAGCGCACGGTAGCAAGGGTTAAACGTGAGCAGTGAGGGGCTGCTGGGGTACAGGGTCTGTTGCAGAATGAGGGCAGAGAGGAAAGAGGGTGATGGAGAGGCTCCTGTGATCAGTCAGAGCGTGCTCAACCCTCTGTTTGCCATGGGAAAGTCAACAAGAGACATTCAGGTCTTTGCTGAGGATGTATTTTCTGTTCAGCAAAAATACATATGCCACCTTGACTTTTTACCAGGTCTTAAAACTGTACTGCACTGAGGCCTCAGTGTCGGGCTCCAGTCTTATTTGCTATACTTCCTATACCAGTTAATGCCACTGGTTTTAGTAGAGCAACTCCTGATTTACAGTCACTCGGGGGAGATGAGAATCAGAGCCTCGATCTTGTGAGTGAATCCATGAAAACAAAGCAGAGGTCTGTCTAAATCCTTCAGCAGGTTCGAAATGGAAAAATAGCATGAGTGCATAATGTGAACCAAATGCTTACGGTAACATCTGACTCCTACCCTCAGCGAATAACAAGCTGGGGAGAATAAGGCACCTTGAGGAACTGAAGGTGAAAAGTCAAAAAACAAAATTAAATATTCTCTTCCTCTGCTTACACCTTTCATGCACACGTGGTGGGCAAGAACAGACGAACAAGTAGCATGAAAATTACCGGTCTGTTCTCGGAAAGGTTTTAGTGTGCGAAACTGTCACTGGATTAACAATGAAAGCACACTTTGGATTGCCGGTGATCCAGTTTATGTCTAACCCTAGTACTAAAGTCAGATTCCAATTATTCAACTGTATTGAATAGTGCGTTTTTCACTAGTGGTGCTACTGAATAATAAGGGGCAAGTGTACAAATAACAAGCTGCTTAAATATAGGAGAGAGAAGCCAAGCCTTTATGATTTGCTTTTAATTGAAAAGTAAAGGGATTTTTTTTTAGAAATTCTCTGCAGTGAGTACCTCTGGGGAGGAAAAATTTATTTTACACGTATAGTCTGCAAATGACTTCTGGCTTACCAGGCCTGTTTTGGGCTTCTGTATTTTGTAGAACAGAGTAACATAGCGAACTGAGAGTAAAATAATCCCCCCCCCCCCCCCCCCTTTTTTTTTTAATTCTGAAGAAATTCACTTTTCTTCCTCCTCAGTTTCAGAACTTCCTCTCTCTTCTCACCCCTGTTTTTTTCCTCTCTCCAGGAACAGCCAGAAGGAATGACCCTGGTAAAAGAGGAAGGGGACAAAGATGAAAGCAAACAGGAGCCTGAAGTGGTCTATGAGACAAACTGCCACTGGGAAGGCTGTTCCCGGGAGTTTGACACGCAGGAACAGCTAGTGCATGTAAGTTAATGGTATTCAGGAACTGGGTTTTAAAACTATGTGACCTTTTTCATAGGGGTTGGGTTCTCTGACCCTGTGCTGAGTCAAGTTTCTTAGCTAACAGCGCTGCAAACTGGAGAGGGGTTTATGAGTTTCTGAGAATAAAGAAAACTCAGAGCCACAGTGCTTGACCTGTTCATTCAGCTAAAGCTTAGTGTAAAATTCAATAAAGTCTTCAATAGAGATTGTAATGGCTCTGATCCTGTAAGCCAGCAAATGCTATTTTGAGTTAGAGACTTTGATAGTTATTGAGTAATAGTAAGCTGGACATGAATTATTATTAACCTTTAGCCAAGTTTGATTTTTTCTCCTCAAAGGGACTGTAACAGTAGAAATGGGTGAGGGGATTTCTTCCCCTTCCCTAAGGGGGGGGTTGGTATCAATTTACTGTTGAGTGTAAACTGAAGGGGGTTATTTGGCTAAATGCATGGAGACTGAGTTATTTCATGTTTTTAGCAAAAGCAAACTATGGTCTTTTTTATGCTACACCAAATATTAGTTGTATCTGCCTTGTTTTTTCTTCCTCTCTGCCACCTCTCCAAAAGAAATTATTTTTACTGTTTTGTAATATTGTAAGCTAGAAAATGAACAGTCAAAACCTAGAATATAACCTGGCAAGTACAGTGTCCCCCCATTTCCAACCTCCTTAGCTAGCAGCACCTCTCTTAATTACCGGCATCATAGAACATAGCAAATACTCTGAAAAAAAAGGAATTCCTAGTACAGATTAGAGAGGAACATCTTCAGCAAATGATCAGTGTGTCAGAATCATATTTATTGTAGAAAACTGTTTAATACTTTCCTGGAGATCATGCAAAATCGATTGTGAAATGTGGCCAGTACTACTGAAATAGCTTGTTGAAAAATGTACTTTTCCACCCAAAATAAATAAAAAAACCCCACCATCTATTTCCAAACACTATGCAAAATGGTAAACTGATGCTGCAAAGCTGACTTTAGTAAAGCAATGCCAGCTTTCACTTGCTGGAGTGTGAGAGCCTCTTGGTGTTGCAGTTATTCATCAAGCTGTATTTTCGGTTTCTTGTTATTATTAGGTAGTAGTAGTAACAGTAACAAAATAATAATATGTGAAAGACTATCAAAACTAAAATAATGGCAGAATTGTGGCATTTTTTAAGAATCCTTTGGACACGTTTTGCACAAATAATTCCCTAACTTTTTAATAGGCCAAAATGAAATGTAAGGAGAGACTCTGTTGGTGTCACAGTATCTTTTGGGGAAGAAATGCCATATAAACAGCTGCTGCAAAGGGTTGGACACATTTAAAAGATCAAGTGTTGGTCTTGCAATTGATTCCATGCAAACAGACCAACTGACATCATCTGGGGCTCTGCACAGGCACAGTCTTTATATCTGCTAATAATTGTAAGGCTGAAGCTTTATGATGCCTGGCAAACCTTTCTCAATATTCAGAAATGATCCTAGTGATGTTGATAAATAATTTACACCAAAATATGTGAAATAGAAGAGAATTGCAGAATAAAGGTGCCCTTGGTAATGAAAAAAAGGAAGAGGATTTTTTGACATTTCAGATGTAAAAATTAATTGAATTCCACTGTGCCTGTTAGCTACTAGCTAATGTTTTGTAGTTTAAGGTGAATTAAATGGACAGCGTGATTGGTTGTTTGGGGTTTTTTTAAAATGCGTTTGTTGATTCTGGTGTGATTTTTATAGCAAATCTGACTGTATTATAAGGGTCAGCAGCAAGACTCCTCTGAAAAAAATGTATTTCTTATGTTTCTGCACAATGGCAACATCTGAAATGGGTTTCTCTAGACATAAAAAGGGGATATAAAAAATGTTTCTATGATACATGGAGTTCTTTTTGGCAGGGCTTAGGATTCAGATATGTTATGATGGCATTTAAGATTACGAGGTGCAAGTCCTGACTCAATACCCTGAAGACAATAAATTCATCATCGCAACCATCACATTCAAGTAGCACAAATCACGCTGTAAGAGTCAGCGTGACTCAGTGATGGGGCCCTGGTTTGTGATTTCTTTTGCTGCTCCGACAGAGCCCTGCTGTGGGGACTTGAGCGAGTTATTTCTGTCCAGAATTGCAAAGGGCTTTAGACATCCAACTCTGTTTGAAAGTCTGGCCCTTCACCCTGGTCTGTCTCTCCCATATTTTGTCTGCCCTTGATTGCCAGAGCCCTCTGATGTACACCTGCAGCAACTAGGGAAATGAAGTCTGAGTCTTGGTAGGCCTTCACAGGAAGGCAGTCCCGGTTTTGCTTAGGTCTGTGACTCCGGCAGAAAGCGTTCAGTCCCCGAGCAGCAGTTCGGTCCTTGAAAATCTCCCCACTGATGTGGCTCGTGTATGCCTCCTGCCCAAATACTGGCGAGTAAATCCAAGTAGATACAAGCTGCTGTAAATGCGCTTACCTCAGCGCCTTTGCACTGCATGAGTTCCTAACTTGGCGTGTACATGTGTGCACCTGAACTAGGCACAGAGAGAGCGTGTGTCTCAGTGGCATGAGTACATCCTTTACTCAGTAATATTTACACTGCAGTAGCAGCTGGAGGCCTCGTCAAGCCCAGAGTCCCGCGGTGCTAGACGCTGCTCAAACGCAAGAGAAGGAAGGACCCCGATATGGGCACGAGCTCTTCACTCTGCACCTCCAGGGCCGTGTACATCAGGCTGTTCAGTGCTGTCTGGAGGTACCTGAGCTAGCCTGTGTACAGGTAGGGCTGTAGCTAGGACCACGCTATTAACCTTCAAGTCGTGCAGCAGAGCTCTGCCACGTTGTCTCTCCTGGCCGCATGCACTGCTGCTCTGCGGGTGATTCCCAGCCTGCTGGCAGACTCAGCAGAGCCTCAGTTGCTCCAGCCGAGCTTGAAGGGGCTTTTGAATAAGATGCTGGACTGCCACGTAGGTAATCAAAAGTACAGATAACCATCCTGTTTTGTTGCTTCTACTGTGGCATAGTAATCTTCAAGGCAGGGGCAACTGGCATAGATAAAGGCAATAAAGGCTTAAATTGCCCTAGCAAGACTCATCCCGGTAACGTCTGCTGTCTTCCCTGTATTCCCTGGCACTCAGAAAGGATGATGAGCATGAGCAGAGAGCTACAGTCACGTGTTCAAGGGTGTTGGGTGGGTGTGATACAGCACTACACATGATACTACATCATATTGCATACACACACCTACTTGCCCATACTATGGGTAGTCAAGTGAACTGTATAGTGAAACTGAGAGTGAGCTGTGTAGGCCTTCACAAAGGATTGCACGAAGACCCTTCCCCGTCACCCACTTCGTTGAGTACGTGGTGTGTAGCATATATTCAGTAGAAAGGAAAATGCATTTGTATATTTGACTTGGAAGCATTTAGAGTATTCTTTCACCTGTACAACTCTCTAAACCAGTTCCCTGGGTTTTGGAAATTCAGCTGAGAAGAAGAAATTTGTAAAATGCAGAGTTTCAGAAAAAAGACCTAAAAAGCATTCTTACACATCCTGATAAGGCTAAATTTTCAGGATCTACACAGGCTAGCAGTAAGTCTTTTAATGAATGCGGAGTTTTCTTTCAGGGGAATAAAGCTACTGTTTGTAGCCGTGCATAATAGTAAGATATCAGACCCAAAACATCTGATGGCACAGAACAGACTGTTAGCCAAGCCTTGCATCCCAAAGCACTGGAATCTTAGAGGAACTGCAGTGTTTAGGGAAAAGATGGAAGTATATTTCTACCTGTTAGTTTTGTTTCCTAAAGTATTAGGTACCTCAGTGTGAATTCTAGTTGCGCCAGGCTGAGCAGAGCTCAGGAGAGCTTTTCCACAATACGCAATGCACACAGTTCACATTATAGATGTCATTACTCCCTTCATGTATAGAGTGTATATGCAAGCACGTATGCATGTGTTTCAAAAGAGGTAAATATGAATTTGTGTATATTTTGGTCTTCCTGTCGCATGAGGATAGCTTTATTACCTTTTGGGGAATGATGGGACCCAATTTACTTTGAAATCAACTGTAGATGAATCAGATTCTAGCAATATCTGCATTACAAAGTGATGTGTAATATAGCATGTATGGAATGGTAAATAGAAAGATAATCTGTGTCCGAATATGTGGTATAGCTTTAGAGCAGAAATTACAATTGTGGGCACAATAGTCAGCATCTGATCACATTTTTCTGCATTACTTTCTGTAGCAAAGTCCTGCTGTTATTAGTGTGAAATGTGGGCACTAGTGAAAGTGTGCTTAGGCTCCAAGAGACAATGTTTTCTGACTGAATTTATGAACAGAACCTGGGCTGCTATGAATAAATAACTGAAAAGCTACATAAAAGAATCGTTATTGACCCACCCAGAAGGGTTTGACACTGGAATGATTTTGAAGCAGGAGCTCTTATTTTCAAGTGATATGTGCCACTTATAATTCAGCATGGTTAAATTTTCATGATACATACACCAAAAGGCAAGGTGTTAAACCATTCAGATGCTCTGCCTTATTTATAGCACCTATCCATCCTTTTCCCCCCCTTTTCTTACAGTTAATAGAAAGATTCATGATTCTTCATGGTTGTCTATCTAGCGTCTGACAGTACCGACTGCCCTGCTAAAGCAAGTCACTATCTATAATTGATATCCTTCTATGGAATAGGGTACTGGCTGCAATTGAAGGGTTTTGCTGAAAGCTCTTAAATCCTGACAAGTTCTGCCCTTGTTCTGGTTCAGTCGCTGAGCTGCACTGTTAGGATCCCAGGGTTATTTGAAGTTGGTGCAAGAGGCGGCGGCAGGGGGGGTGGCACATTAGCAAATCACAAAGTTGGAGAGCTGCGTTAGAGCCGCCACTGCATTCGCCTGCCAGGTAGTCTTATTTACAGTGCGTTGCACTCCTGAAGAGATTGCTTATGTTACTGCCTGAACAAGTGTATTAAAGGTTTCTTTCTTTCCCTTCTTCTTCTTAAAAAAAAACCAAAAAAACCCTTAT